CTCCTAAATAGTTCCGTTTATCCAATTTCGCTAACAAGACTTAGGTCAACCCTTGGTTTGGTTTTCAGGCACTTTCCAAAGGTTTGCCTCCTCAGGCCGATAACATCAAAAAGTTACCTTCATGATAAATCGACCAAGATGAATTCGAAACCGGGCTGTGAACGTTCTAACCACTCGGTCACGCCTCCATAACAATTTGGTACGAAGTCAACATTTTAACAAGAAACTTAAAGTTATATGAAACCGAAAATTCTGTTAAAGAAACTCACTACATGGTACTGAGCTTGCATTTCCCGACATATTAGCTAACGATTGAAAGTGTTTGTTAATCACTATTCGAAGCCAAAAAGTCCCCCAAAAATGTAGCAGTTATGGAAATGCTGCTAGGATACCCAGTAGCATAGCCTTGTGCTATTTTGGTAGCACGTGGTAGTGGCTGTAGTATTTTGCAAAGGTTGGTTTTGCTTAAATGCGGTTGATATGCATATTGGTTTCTTTTGCCGGTGGTTGACGTTTGCGGCAGTACCTGAAGCAGGGTGTTGGCAATAACGAACGAACGAACGCAAAATGGGATGTATATAGAGTCAAGATGAAATTAGTTTTATTCACCCTCTGATTGATTGATTGAAATTTACGGCATATCAACCTCAATTGCTTATTTAATACCGGCAAAATTTTTATTGCTGGTAATATTTTTCTTCAAAAACTATTTCTAGCAATATCCTTCCTTTTAAAATCGATTGCAAGTAATATTTTCCAAAAATGTATTGCTGGTAATGTTTTTACAAAAATGTATTGCTGATAACATTTTTCTAAGAATGTATTGCTGGTAACATTTTTCCAAAAACATATTGCTGATAATATTCCTTTACGAAACTGTATTGCTGATAATACGATATTTCCTTCAAAAGAAATTATATTATTAACTCCGATAACAATTTTTTCCTTCAAAACTATATTGCTGGTAATAACTCTTTCTTCAAAAACGTATTGCTGGTAATAAACTTTCCTTCAAAAATGCATTGCTGGTAATAATATTTCCTCAACAATGAATAGCTGTTAATAATTTTTCTTCATAAAAGTATTGCTGGTAACCAAAAATGTATTGTTAGAAATAATTTTTTTCTTTTTTCAAAGTACGTTACGAAAACAAGAAAGCAGATTTAGTAAACTATTTTTTTTTAATTTTCCTGTAGTGCCCAATTTCTTTAATGAAATTTATAATGTTACTTAGATTGACATTTATTCACTCCCTGAAAAGTTGATACGAAACATTAGTCCACTTAATTAATATGAGTGCCACCTAGTATAACAGCAATAGAGATCTCCTAATTGAAAAACCCCAAATATTAATGAAAGATGCTGAGCAACTACCCAGCTAAGCACTTTTGAGTCTAGTGTGACTTTCTTTTATCGTGGGCGCACGAAGTTAGTAAAGCCTAATGCTGTCTCTTGGCTGATTGATTTTTGTCATAATACATTTTCGGGGCCCTTTCTTTTCTGAGGTGTTCCAATTTCATGGTTTGTCTTTTTAAAGTTTTTTCTTGGTTACTGCCTTTGCTATGTCACGACAGATTTATTTGTGGCTCGTGAATTGGGAAAGAAAGAAAAAGGGAAAATGTATTTTTGTTCCGTCACGATAAAGTATAAAGAAGAGAAACCTAAGGGATCTAAGATAACTTGTGTAACTATAAAAAGTTAAAATATGCTGACCATAATTCAAAATTCCCTAAAATTATTGTCACACAAATGCGTAATTTTTAGGTACGGCACAAATAAATGTTATTTCGTCAATTGTTTCTAAACTATAAAATATTTCTTACTGTTACGCCCACAATGTATAACTTGTGATATGAAAGAAAATGCAACGTTTATAATCACGATAAAAAAAAAATGGAATAGGAGACCTAAAAATAAGATTATTCGTTCTCTCGTTTTTATTCGGACAGAAAGGCCAGCATGCAGTAAGAACAGGGTAGAACTATGCTTGTTACTGTGTGAGGCCAGCTTTGACATCACACTTTCAAAGAAGACAGAACAAAAAAATAAAAAATAAAAAAAAAACAAAAACAAAGAGGCTGTTTCGCCGGTCTCGGTAAAATAGACACACAAGGCTATTTTGCCGGTAAATATAAATAGTGTTTTAGAACTAAGGAAATATATTTGAGATCGCCAGCGCAGTGGTTATGTAGGCAACAACATGAATTTTGTGGTATGTGACTGTTGTCTTCAGTGGGCACACCTGAAGTGTATTCGCAAGAGATTTATGTTCAAGGGCAAGTTTGGGATTTACAGAGACTGTTATGCATGAAGTACTTAAAATATTCAGAGACTTCTATAAGTGATGATGAATAAATGATTTTAACTTGTGTTTTAACAATTGGTTGTGGAAAAGATTTTAAATTTTCATAATAATTGATGGTGAAAATAAATAAAAATCTGTATTGAATTTGTGTGTTGTTATTTTTAACATTAACTGCTTTCATAATAATAAAAATATTTACCGGGAAAATAGACTGGGGTCTATTTTTACCGAGACTGGTAAAATAAACTTAAAAGCATGTTTATTTTACCTGGACTATCAAAATAGCCAACAAAAAAATAAATTTAACTGTAGTGATAAAGCCAACAATGAGGAGGGTGTTAGTCTGAATAGTTCAGCATCTAATGATAATTCGCTGCAAAGACTGTTACAGCTTAATGTTATATAAATTGAAATCTTACCTACTCCGATAGAAATATGCAGGCGAATTCGGTCCTGTTCTGACTTTGCTTCTATTTCATTCTAACTTCATCTTATACCGATCCAAATAATAATACCTTCTGAGTGTTTAATTAATGGCCTGATTACATTATAAGCTGCCGTCAAGTGACCGAAGCAAAGAATTACGAAAACGCAGCAAAAAAAAAAAAAAAAAAATACAAAAAGGCGCCAAGAAACAAAAAGCAAATCATTTATATATATTTCCCAGGCCTATATTAAATGGTAGACCTGAGAAAACTATTATACCTGGATAAGCGGTTTCAGTGAAAAGTGATAAGACACAAATATATGTATGCATTAAATATTTTCTTATAACCAACTTAATCCTAATTATAAACAAGACGGAGAGGTCATTAAAAATATAGTTCGCAGGTATATAGCAGTGATCCTAACAAATATCTTAGTCTTATCATTTATTACAAACAATTCAAAACGTCTAATCCAATTTTGAGAAATAATTCAGCACCTGAAATATTCACTCGATGTAAAAATAATTGGTCTCTCGTAGACTGACATGTTATTTGTCAAAATTTAGTGCAATTCGCACTTTAATTATAAAAGCGAATGTCCTCATATATATATATATATATATATATATATATATATATATATATATATATATATATATATATATATATATATATATATATATATATATATATAGTGTATTGGGGTAGCATTGGTTCTGTTCTAACACTTCGGTCTATTGCGTGGTATGACGTCATAGAATTGCATCATGAACTTACGATCTGCGTCTGCTAATTCGCGACCGTTATCGTCGCATAGTAATTTTTTATGACAAAATAACAAAAATAAGCTTTGACAATGGGTATCTTTGTTTCATGTTTGTATAATGACTCTGAGAATGGCTAATGTGAGCCGAAAGCTTAGGACCTACGTAATAAAAAGATATCCAAATGTTGGAGAATTTTTGTCTTTATTTTCACCAGAAATTAAAGAACGACTCATGATCAGGCATAATAGACATTCTTTGTCTGTTATATTTAATAATATATGTTTTATGACATAATTTAGCTCTTGAAAATATATTTCCAATTGAGCACTGTTGAATTACAAGAACTATATACAAGTATATATATATATATATATATATATATATATATATATATATATATATATATATATATATATATATGCAGTGTTGTGAATGAGGTTAATATGCCACAAAACAAACCAAACTATACATTTTTTTAAAAAAATATTACCAGCTATACATTTTTTTAAAAAAAAGGAAATTTTGTCGGCATTAAATAACCCATTGTGGTTGATATGCCGTAAAAGAAAACAAACCAAACCAAATCAACTTTGTTTGTCTTTCACTACTCTATCGCTAATTACCATGGCAGCTGTTTGGACGAGTTACATTCTTTATTTCCAGAATCTCAGACCTTCGCAAATAGGACTCGCTATGCCATGTTCACAGTAGGAAACCATCCCCATTCTTTTCATGTTCTTTTGATACAAACAAACAGCTTCTTCTCGAGAACCGTTCCATCATGGAACAAATTTATGAGAGATTTCTTTGACAGATACAATCTTGGCTTCTTTAAGACCAGGGTCAACCGATATCTATCCGACACGTCCTCATGATATACATTTCTTACTTCTTCCTTTACAACAATCTCACTCAGTAATCATTTACTTTGAGTGGCTCTTGGGCCATGTATTGAGTGAACTAATAGTAAATAAAATAAGGACACTCTCACCAGTGAATGTGAGGGAATCTTGTTTCTGCTTTTTTATTTTTTTTTCTTCAGAGCGCATATCAAATAACGACTGGACTTTTATGCGTCTCTCGTTGTAAATAGCAAGTTCTATCACCATTCTTCATACCCTCCTCGCTACCAAATGAAGTGGAGCTGGGAATCCAATTTAGTTTGTTCATTTGACAAATTTTCTTTTTGACAAGAAAAAGAACTATTACCTTCCAGACTAAGATGGGCGTTAGCCAAAACTCTTTGAGGGTTCATGGTTTTAATTTGATCGATTCGTTTTCTACAGCTTTGCAAGTTATTTAAAGCCAGAAAATATTTTTAAAATGTAAGAAATTTTTTGAAGATAATAATGGTTTAGTGATACAAGTCTTACTCATTAACCCATAGGTGGTGGAAAAGGTAGATTTATACATTTCTCAAGGTTATTTACGTGTAAGTGTCTATAACGAACCCAACTAAAACTCGGCTCTCCGTTCCATTACACCACCCACACATCCAAGCTTACAGCACCTGGTATTCCCAAACGGTCACCTATCTCGCTACTGACCAAATTCAACGTTGCTTAACTTCGATGATCGTACGGGAACTGATGTTTTAACATGATATGGCCGTAAACCTTCTGGGATTTAACTAGAGTCTACACGAGTGAAGAGGACATGATTTTAATTAGCGCGACTGTTATGTAAACTTTATTTCCAATGATTACAGCCCAACGAGAAGACAAAGTTTTAATTTCACGTTGAAATAGGTTGGATGCGCGTTGTGGTGTAATGGATATCGGCTCGGAATGAGAAATCGGAGAGCCAAGTTCGAATTCCAGCCGCGTTCGTTACGTTCATTTACGCTCAAATACTCATAGGAAAGGTAAGAATCTATTTATTCTCTCTCAGCTATGGATTAAATAGCAGGACAGACTGGATTATCTAGCCTTGGTTGGTAACCAGTCTACCGCAGAAAGAAATGGTAACTTACTGCGGGAAAATCTTCTGTCTAGTCAGTTATGAATCGAAAGGGACTTGATCACTCCAGGCGTGTATCACAAATAGCACTTAAATTGATGTTTTCAATTCCTTTTTTTCGTTTTGAATGTACTGCTACTCATAAAATGTTTTCGTGATCGAAACAAATGAAAATCTATAGGTGTTAAATCGGTGAGTATTGAAAATGTAGAACCTCCCATTCTTACGATTTTATTTTTTTCTTAGGTTTGCTTAGTAGAATGTAGCTTTGCATTTGCTATGCTGGAGAATGGCACCGTTTCTGTTTACCAAAGCAAGGCATATGCTTTGCTTACCCGATCAAGTTGCTGGTGACAAATATTTGCAGTTTTGATGCTTCCATGTTCTATTAACTCGTAATGGACGACAATTTTCATATTCCACCAGACGCAAAACAAAAACTTCTGTGGATGGAGTTCTGTTTTTTGTGTGTGTGTTAACAGAGGTTTCTCATTTTGTGATAACTATTGTCTCTTTAGTTTTCTGTTGATATGCAAAATCTATTTTGACCATGTGTAAAATGTCAAATGCTCTAAGAAATCCAAGTTTTAACTTTCTCAGTTTAACCCTGAATTGCACTATAAACTGCACACTGTCGAATAGAAGAGATGGTAAATCGATTCTAGACAGAGTCCCCCCCCCATTCAAATTTGTTTCTACCTTGGTTGGTTAACTTTAAATTTATAGCATAGAAATGCGTAATTACTTTCTGAACACACAAATATGATATCAAATTGCATATAAAAGGATGTGATAGTAAATTAGAGACAGCATTACACGGAAGGGTTTCACATTCATCTACTTGTAGAAATGAATTCAGTAGGATGACGTAACAAATAAAAAGTGTAGTTATTGCAGTAATGCTGTATACGAACAGGATTTAACACTGACCACAAAATTATTATTGACCCCAAAAGGACTTGGCATTCTCTTTCCAAGTTGGCAATATTCCTATAGAACAACAATAACAAGGATATACCAGAAATACGTGAATTCAAAACGGGAGTAGATATGTTCGCATATCGTCTGGCTCAAACTCCTCCTCCGTGTTTTGAACAGGACTAGAGGTTTATCCCTTGTTCACTGTTTAAGATTATGTTTCCGGTTCCTTCTAAAGTCTTTTCATTTCTTTCGTTCCCAGTAGCTCTTTGTGTCTTAGTGGCATTATCACCTTGCATGGGATGAATTGATTTTTAAAAAAAAAAGTCACGTGACAATTGCGATGTAAGAATTGAACAGTTAGTGGCTAGCAAGAATGATAACTAACCAACAAATATTAAACTTGCTTCATATCACATCACAATTCAACGCTGTTGCCACTCAACCAATCAATTCACACACTCGATAGTGTAATCTGCATTTCATAAAGATTCGTAGTCATCGACCAACAAAGATTCCTGACACTACGGTATCGATTATTGTGCTTCAACTGATACAGAGGACATCGTCATTGGACCGTGGAAAACTGGCACTGCGTCATCTGGTCAGGAGTTACATTTCTCGCTCTCCCGGGCAGGTAGTGAACTGGACTCGTGTCCCTGGCTCTGCATCCAGCTTGTCATAGTTTATTGTGCAAGCTGTTGGGTGTCTTTTGTTCGTAAGGACCCCAAGTGAAATTAGATTCACTCGGAACAAGTGAGACAGACACTGATCTTGTTATAGACAATTTGTATACATTTATGCTCATCATGTTTCATCAAACATAGAATAGAATTTTTTCTTTATTTTTTTTTTTTTTAAGATAATGCAATACAGCATCGTTTGCCCGTGAATCGAAACCGGTGCCAGAAACATTCAGTTGACGTCCAGGTATTTGATTACTGCACATGTTGAAGATTTCACTTATTTCCCTGTTGTCACAGGACTGTTAGGCTTTATATATATTCTAACCACTCGGCTACGCACTCATATATATATAAATATATATATATATATAATTGAATACTGAAGTCAACACTAAGCAGCAACAGTATGCTTCATGCTTGAACGCTGTTCTTGCAAAATTGCGTTCAGGCATGTAACCGACGATCACTGCCCCATGTTGACCTCAGTATCCAATTTTATATTTTCATATTTACATCCGCTGTATCTCTGATATTGAGTACTTTTACCTAAAATGTAGCATACCATAGACTATATATTTTTATATATATATATATATATATATATATATATATATATATATATATATATATATATATATATATATATATATGGGCGCGTGTTAGAAGGTTTGCTTTTCCAACCATGATGATCGGGTTCGAATCTCACAGTGGTTGATTTCTCATCAGGAAAGTAACTTCTTTATGTAACTAGCTTGGCGAGGAGACGATCCCGGAATGGCAAGTTTCTGAAAACTGGATAAACAGAACTCGTTGGTAACACGAATCTTTGAGCATCCTAGTCTTGTTCAAACTGTTGTTTACGTCATATTATACGCTCTCTCCCAGAAACTATAACGCTATCCGTAGTTGCAAATATAAACTAAGGCTGGACTCTGCAAGCGTTGAAGAAGCCGCCCAAGCAGACGAGTGTGCTCGGAAACGATATATATAATACTAGCTTAAAAGCCGCCCTATTGGACGTCATTTCAGCTGGCTCCTACGGAGGGCTTTTGATTAGGCCTTCGGCGTGTTCAGGAGTTTGAGAGTCGCTAACTCTTTGCATATTCTCTACATTTGAAGCTCTCTTGAGTGCTATTTTATCTGGTTTCTTATTTGCACGGAACTTTCTTTTCCTTGCTGCAGCTTTGGCAGTTTTCATTGCAATCAGATCCTCTGTTGGCGGAGATTTCTTTTGGAGAGTCATACTACTGCCGTATGCGATAGACAACTATAAACTACTAAGAACTCAAAATTTATCGCTGCATTTAAGTACTGCATTAATGTTAAAGCTTATCTTTTAAAAGTTCAACACTAATTCTTCTGCAGCCACTTAATTTACGAAGGTCCTTACTTTCCGTTCAAACAATTATTTTTATTTCATGTGTAACTTTCGCTGGATTTCGCAATTAATTTCATTTATTCCCAAATTTATTTCCAAGTTATAAAAATTGTTATTGTGCAAAAAAATTCGTTGCAAAAAACCACGTAAAAATCAACGAAAACAATCGTAATAATGAAAATTTGGGAATCCAAAATTTCTGTAATATGAGCTATTGAAAGTTAGAGAGTTGTCTCCCTTTAATTGAAAAATTGTTACATAGTGACACATTGACATTGGCATTTATTATATAGAAGAAGAGCAAAGCACTAGACGTATATAGAGATTCTTTGTCAACTTCAGCATAATTTGTGAAACTCAAAGATTATAAGAATCACTTCGATGCCTTCTCAACTTTTAGGTTGCTTATCATTATGATATTTATCAGATTAATTCTGTTATTAAAATCCCCACTACAATCTGCAAATTATTTCAGTGTCTTTTTTTAATTTCCAAATAATAGTGAGATTTGACGCACCAAACTATTTTATAATAAAATGTCAGCAACTATCCCAGTCGGTCACGTACATTCCTGAGGTCAAAAAACAGTGGGTGTAATTTATTGTTCAGTCCAATCTGTAGTATTGTTGCATATCCGGTTTGGACACCCCCCCACACACACACAAACACAAACACACACACCCTTCTTTACTTATATTTTTATATCATATATATCATTTAATTAGATATGTACAACAGTTTCCAGCGAAAACGGATTCTCAGCCATGTCTTCAGTTTTAAAAAGCTCCCATAACCATGGAGAAAGCAACAGGCAACTATTTTGTCTTTCCCAGCAATAATTATGACAATGCACATTTCACAGTTATTGAAGGACAATGAAGCTGTGGAGCGTCATGGTCGCTTAACTCTTTACAGGACATGTTAGATTCGGTAGCTTTCAGAATAAGAGCTCTGAGAATTTTGCATATACTTAATATATTATTAATTCCGCTTCTTCTATTTATTCATTCAATAGCTTTTTGCGCTACAAAAAGTTTCAACAGAAAATACCTCATTATATTATAAATGCTTTGCAATTTTTATCATATATATCATAATATATAATCCTATTATAATGCTACTTGTTCTTCAGTTAGTAAGTTAGCATCTGTGTTGCGCCCTGGCATTGCTTCAGATAAATAATGAACCGTTCTGTTTTGATTGCAAGGAATAACGGAAGAAAAGTATATCAGGGACGCCGTTTGGTCTCAGTTAAAGAAAGAAAGAAAGAAAGAAAGAAAGAAAGAAAGAAGTGATACGTCTGCTTCAGTCAAATAGAAAAAAATTGTCAATTTAAAATCTTTTCATTTGTACCCTCTTCTTTAAGTAATGATCTGCATTCATACAGATCATTGTCGCAATTGCAATATTTTGTTAAAGCTGTTAGGCTCAAATATTTAATAGGAAAGTTTCCAAGAGCATTTTATAGTCGGGGAACCAGCAAAGATTTTATTCAATCATTAACTTAAGAATTACGATTTATCAGAGAATTCAAATGGTAAAAGCGTGAAATTTTTATAAGTACTGCTAGTGAATATTAATTTATTAAATTTTATTTTTGTATCCAAAGCATAGGAAAACATAGAGTAACCTACTTGAAGAATTTGTGTAAATGAATGACAGAAGAGGAACTG